TATATATATATATATGAAATGTATTTGTAGTTGGTCTCACCATCTATTAAAAACTAATATCGCAGCTGAAAAATATGGCATGCGTCTAGAACTTCAACTGTGGCGCCTGTTGAATACATTGGCAGTCATTTGCACTGATAATAAATTTCATAAGCTGGAATAAACAGATATCCTTGAGTGAGTCTATGGCACCTGCTGTTAATAATACTTGAATGATAACTGGAATTTTATTATTCTTGACTTGGTTTACATTTTTTCCTAAAGTTTGATGATCTTGAAATACTACAGTTTTCTATTTATAAATCTTTTATCATTGAAACAATTGCAAGATTTGCATTTTATAGTATTAAGTTTATTGGAAACTTAAGCAACAAGATGCTTGTCCATTAATTCCACATATAATTGTGCTCTCATAGGATATCAATCAATGTGTTTTCTGTTATTCTAGATGCATGCAACATTTCGTATCCTTGTATTTTATTTTAATGAATTTCAAGGTTTTGATTAAATCAAAGCCTATTTCTGCCACGTCAATAACAAGGAAATCACCTGTCAACAGCTGGCTTAGCAAGGCACCAACAAGACACAACAAATTACACTACAATTACAGTGCAAAGTCTTCAAACTTGTCTGTTACATGAGGGCAAGAATTGTTTCTCCAAGTCCCCATGTATTACACAGTCACTAGCTATTTTAGGTTAACTTTTTTAACTTATCAAAAGGTTATAATTTGGATGAGGGAATTTTAATTACAGAGACATTGATTAAATTAACAATTACCCTATACACTGATACAAATATAATATCAGAGTAAGGATTACAAGGAAAAACTCATTAAAATATAAAAACACTGCTGTAGAGATCAGACATGACGAGGTCGAAAAAAGTTGGTTATGAAAGTGGGCACTGGGCGGGGCGGGCATGTGGGACGCACATGTTTGATCCCACGACCGCCACTGGCACAGCACAACAGTGATAGGAGTCTCCAATGACCAGCACGTAGCAAGCTTTCTGATTCTAGGTGTGCATAGTAAACGACAAACGCATGGGCCCGGCCATCCCCACACAGATGGATGAGATGACAGCGGTCAGTATTCATGTCTAAAAAAGGATATTTGGACAAGAAAGTGAAGAAAAAGATTTTGCAAGTTCATGCATTCCGCTGTGCTCAATCCTTTACCGAATAAATTATATTAAAATGGGTTCCTGTTACATTATTGAAGACACAACTTGCGTCTTTTACTAACTTTTCCAATGTCTTTTCTTCCAGAGTCGGCAAGAGCATGGCTCCCAGATGTGTTATTTGTGGAAGAGGATCGGAGGAAAGAAATTCCATCAGGAGCAGCAATGGGAATCGTTAATTCTTTCTACGGTGATGGAATTATGAAATGATCATAAAGATTTGATGTCTTGGCTTCAAATAGTGTTTTGAGATTGTAAGGCCATACGATGTCAGTAGTTCCACTCCACATCAGCTCTGCAAATTGCTGGTAAGCCTTTTCCGAGGGATGGTAGGAGTCGAAGAAGAAATATTCACTGGGATTCTCACATAAATGAAACTCTGTTATCCCTCTCTTCCCTCCACAGCTGTAAACTCCTCCGTACGGACCAGAGCCGCAACATGCCGTTGTTGCATCCTTGAAACCTTCGCAACATAAACCCACATCAAATGTCATCTAATATACACACATGCTCGATTTCATGCCATGCCAACAAGTCTAATGGCCTAACGTATATAAACCATACCATATTTTGAAGGGTTGTTCAATCTTTCGCCAACGGATTTATAGAAATTATAATAGGCATATTTGAACCCTTCAAGCTGGGTTTCCAGCTTCTGGAGGGTTTTGGGAAGTTCTTTATTGTGCAGTTTTGCCATTGCTGTGAGTTCATCGATGCAAGGACC